GGCCTATTTGCATTCTATCTTAACACTTAGCATAGTGCCTGGCCTAGAATAGATTACAAAAAGCAATAAATGAATGAAATGTATTGAATGTATTAAATAAGATTGAAAGACTATAAAGGTTTCCTTTGCCCTGCCTCTACTATCATTCCTTTGCTAGTGCAAAAGCAAAAACCAGTATCCAAAGTCTAATACAAAAGCATATGAGAAAACACACTACCCTAAAATCCAAGGATATAACAGAAGACATAATCACAAACCCATATAAAGCCACCTGAATTTTGTCAAAGATGCCAAAAATATACATTAGAAAAAAATAACCTCTTTTGAAAGATGGTGCTGAGAAAACAGGATGTCTACACCTAACAGAATGAAACTACATTCTTATTCCTCATTGTGTATAAAAATCAACTTAGAATGAATCAAAAGTCTTAAGGCAAAACTTGACTCTGAAACCAAGATCTTTCTGAATAGGACCCCAATTGTTTAGTAAATGATGCTAACAATTGGTAAATGGGATCTCATGAAATTAAAAAGTATCTGCTCAACAAAGGAAACAATCGTGTAAAGAGACACCCTACAGAAATGCAGGGAAATCTGACATATGATTAACAACTAGGCTATAGGCAGAACTCATAAAACTAAATAGCATGAACTCAAACAACTCAATCAATAAACGGGCTACTATAACAGACAGTGGGATCTCAAAAGGTGAAGTAAAAATGGCCAGTAAACATATAAAACTATGTTTAGTCTCAAGAGCCATCAGAGAAATGCAAAGTAATAATACACTGAAATTTTACTTCCTTCTCATCAGAAAGGCAGGCATTAAAATAACATCAAATGCTGGTAATGATGTGAACAATAGGGAACCTGTATACAATGCCAATGGGGATGTACTCTAGTCCATCCACCATGGAAATCTGAAAGGGGTTCTTTACAAAACTTAAAGATCTACCTTATGAACCAACCATTCCTATGTATTTACCAAAGGACTCCAAGTAAGTCTATTACAGAAATATTTTCGCATCTATGCTTATTGAAGCACAATTCACAACAACTAAAGTTATAGATCCAATTGGAATGCCCATAAGTATAAAAATGGATAAAAGTAACTTTTAGACGAATGAAATTTTTTCTTTGTGTGTGTGTGTGTGTGTGTGTGTGTGTGTGTGTTGAGACAGGGTTTCTTTATGTAACCTCCCTGGCTAACCTGCAACTTGCTCTGTAGATCAGGGTGGCCTTGAACTCACAGACATCTGCTTGTCTCTGCCTCCCAAATTCTAGGATTAAATGTGTACACCACCACTTCCCAGCCAGAATGGAATGTTTTAACCCATAAAGAACAACTAAATTATGTCATACAGGGAAATGGAAATGACTGGGGGTAATCATATTAAGCAAAGTTAGTTAGTCTCAGGAAGATAAATATTACATGTTTTCTCTCATTTGTCATTTCTAGATTTTATACAGACACATAAAATCAGAGACATACATAATTTACATACAGACGTGTGACATTAAAGTAGATGTGAAACTGTCTAGGAGAACAAAGGGTACCAACAGAAGTAGAGGTGGGGAGATGGGAAATATGCTCAAATAGCACTATAGCCCTGAATGAAAATAGTTTTGTAACATATCATGTACAATGGATATACAGCAATGAAAATAAATGAGAAAAGGAAATAATATTCAAATCTTTAAATTTAAGAGAGAAATGCTAGCTATCAGGAGGCACGCTTTGATATGCAAAAAGGCAGTGCGTGTTTCCATATGCTACTGAACATTTGTGAGAGTTGCAGCTTCCAGATGAATGACCTGACCCAGATCTGTCAGGCCATGCTTGGCTGGCTCCAAAATAGTTCTTGCCTGCCTAGTTAGAGAGAGAATAGCGCAGGCTTTAAATAATTTACACAAAAATGAAGCCTACTGGAAATTCAGCAGATATGTAGAAGATTCTTTCATTATTTTGAACGTTACTATCTTTTGAATAGGTAAGGCTCTGTGTGTTTCAAAAACCAAATGACATAAAAAATTGTCCTTATTGAGAAGTTTCATTCCATACCTTATTTCTGACAATTTTGTTCACTACGTCCCACAACCCCTAACAACCACTTTCATTAATATTTTTTCAGTATTCACTTGTATATGTAGAAATACATTTTATAAGTAGTCTCCTATCCTCTTCTTCCCAGGACACGAGAAATAGTATATATTATATTGTTTCCCCTTTTTGCATACATCCTGAAGATATTTATATAATAGAGAATGAACTGTTTCTTATCTCTCCATGGTTGTGCTGAATTACAAAGAGTAAAGTTAACCTAGAGCTCTTTAATGCTGTGAACTATTTCTACTTTGCTATTAGAATGATCTAATGAGTACATAATCTTGTGTTAGTTTTCCACCACTATAACAAATGCTGACAGCCAACTGATAAGGGGAAGATGTTTATTTTGGCTTATGGTTTTGCAATTTTAGTCCATGATTAATTAGTCCCCTTGCTTCGGTGCATGGTAGGGTATTATGTTTGGAGCAGACAGCAGAACTAGACAGCCCACCTCATGGTCCAAGAACAAAGAGAGAAGACTCCAGGTCTCAGAGTCCTCTGCAGGAGCAAGTGCCCTAAAGACTTCCCATTAAGCCCCAAGTCTGAAAGTCTTACCACTTCCCAGTGATGCTCCCTCTGGGGCCAAGCCTTTACATTTGCAATCCAAACTGTTATCAAACCTCCAATATGAAAGAAAAAATTATTTTAGATGAGTACACAAAAGAGTGGATTGGAACATGGATGAGAACAGCTTGGTAACAAGCAAAGGCCAGTGTCCCCCAGTGGACCTGGGGAATTGGGGCTTATGGGATATTATAGTCAATTAGATATTTAGTGAATGGCTGGGAAGATTTTTCCAAGGGGAAATTTTTCTTGATTTGTTTTCCAAGTGGGAAACGCTTGGTTCTTGATTTTTTTTGTCCCAAGTGAGATGCTCATCAGACACTGGAGCTCAAGAGCATTTAGAAGCTCTTAGGAGAATGGAAAGTAATTGCAAAAGCCTATTCTTAGCCAGTGTTCCACATTCTGAGAAATGTTTTCAAGACTCTGATTGAACTTATTTAAGAAGTACTCCCTGGGGTCTGGAGAGATGGCTCAGCAGTTAAAGAGCTCTAGTTATTCTTCCAGAGAGAGCCAGGTTCAATTCCTAGCACCCACATGGCAGCTCACAACTGTCTGTACCTCCAAGATCTGACACACAGACATACATGCAGGCAACACACCAATGAACATAAAACAAATTGGTTTGAGAGAGAGAGAGAGAGAGAGAGAGAGAGAGAGAGAGAGAGAGAGAGAGAGAGAGAGAGAGAGAGAGGTGCTCTCTGCTGACATGAACTTTGGACTAAGTGGATACAGTACCAAAGATACTGTTAGTGGCCTATTAAATATTCATGCCACTTCCTTCTAGCTCTTCCCATCCCATAGCATAGATTATATCCTGTTTCCTATCATAGTGGTGGAGCCAGATTCATCTGAATCAACCATGGTAACACACCCCTTGAAAACACTTGGCTGAAGTATTTCCAGATGGCTTGGTTTGGGATACTGGAGGACGCTGGAAGACACATCATCTGTTTGGGTGGCTTGGGTTTTAGGGAGAGAAGTCAGAGTTACAGTCCTCTTTCCCTGTGGCCTAATAGGCAAGGTCTCAAAATTCTGCTCAGTCTTATAGTGGGGAAGTAAATACATTCATAATTCATAAATTCATCTGGTCAGTGTCCTGACCCAGCCACAAGTACTCTATAGGTATCTTGGTGAGTTAGGGCTTAATAGACTAACAGGCACAGGTGCCAGGGCTCCCTTCAAGTCTTTAAATACCTTAATAAAAACTACAATAGAACAGAGCTGTGGAGAGCTAGATTTTCCACCCATCCTTTACTAGTAACTAGCCTGAATTCATTTTCACTCACCAAAGCAGGGACAGTGCTCTAAAAACATAGCAGTTCCTCTGTCCATCAATGTTTCTGTTTGCAAATTCTCATAAATCTTTAGAACTAGACTCGTTCCTTCAGGGCATACCAAGGACTTATATTTCTGAGCTCTTCTAGAGGTCATGCTTAGTTTTGTAGTGTAGCAGACACACCATTTAATTTTAGGGTCTCCATTCTGCTGCCATTCATTTTAGGGTTACTGCTCATGGGTGTGAAGATTAGGTCTGCTTTAGACTAGTTCCATTCCTGTTTTGATTTAAAATTTTTCCCTTTAAAGACAATGGTTTAGAATAAGTCAACTGACATGTTGTCAGATTGTTCCAGTCATACAATTGGAATTGGAAAAATGTTCAGGTGGTAAATATTACTTTATAGAGGAGTGTACTCTATCCTGATTGCTCATTCTTGAATGGTCGGAGATTAAATACAAAGTGATGGGCACGCTGGGAATAACACCTCCTTCTTTTGTGTGTGTGTGTGTGTGTGTGTGTGTGTGTGTGTGGTGCTTCAAAGGTAGTTTATATACTGGGTAGAAGCATGGATTTTAGAGCCTGAAAGCAGGCTCACTTAATTGGCAATGCCCTGCACAAGAATATAGAAGTTTGGCACCCTTTGTTCAAACATTAATTATATGACAAAAAGGGTTAAAGCAAGTCAGGGAGTTCCATGGCGCCCTGCCCAAGGGCCATCAGTTTAGCTCTCACTGCCTCTCTAGAGCTTCATGGCTTTAGACAAGCTATCATACCCTCTTAGGGTCTCACTGTTCCAAAATAGTGACAACACATCCTCTCTTGAGTTGTCCTAGGGTGAAATTAAAAGTGGTCAATACAGTGAGGGATGGAGGGTGGCTAAGAGCACTGACTGCTCTTGCTAAGGACTCTGGTTCAATTCCCAGCACCTACATGATGGCTCACAGCAATCCATGACTCTAGTTCCAGAGAATCTGACACAGCCTTAGTTCTAACTCCCTTGGACACATGGAGCATACATGCATGCAGACAAAGCACTCACACACAAAAAAGTATAAAAAATTATTTAAGGAAAATCTTTGATACACAGGAATTACACATTCCCTTTCTTCTGTCTTCATTTACATAGTGATATTGGCTACAGGGTGAATTCAAAGGCAACCTGGGATAAATTTCTCTGTCTCAAAACCAACAACAACAAGTAAAAAGAAAGCCATAAGTAACAGCTTTTTAGTGTATAAAACTCCCTATGTAACTCTTGGTGTTCTTGTCACCAAATGAATGGGAAAATTTACTATATTATAATCTATCTTACAGGTATTCATAATTGCATACATAAACTGATTAAATATAGGAGAAATAGAGAAATAAATTATATTTTGGTAATTAACTTGAAGACTTCTTTGAGAATTTTACAGAAGTCTACATTTAACTGTCATGTTAAATAACTTTTTCTACAAAAATAAATTATTCCTACAAAATCCATAAGTGTATATGTATATATATGTACACATTCAGCTTAGACTTTTAAAATGCAAATTTAATTACAAGAGAATGTATTGACAGAAGCAGAAAACAATATATAAGTTACTGTAAAAACAAACCTGATCTGCAATGACTGCCTGCCTTAAATTGAGGTACTTTTGTCTACTAGCACATTGTACAATAGAAAATGAAACCACTGCGAATCTCAATACAGCACATCTAAATCTTTTCTGTCACTAAGAAGAAAACCAAGAACGCGGAAGTGAGCTAAACGTGCTGGAAATACTAAAATTGGTTGACTCAACCAGCGTGACTCTTAATGCTCAATAGAATGAGTGTAACAGAGCTGGCTTTTATACTTTGGTTGAACAAATGAGTGATCAAACTGTTGGTTTGCCAAGTAAAAGCAAAACCAGATCAAATCACACTCTTTGCTGGGAACCAGGCTGACATCTGCTTATGAGCTCAGCTACAGTAACACCCACAATAAGCTTAACTCTCTGCAATGGCTAATGGGGCTACGTTTTCCTTTTTTCATGACAGCAGATTCATTTTAGGATCCTTGAAATCCTAAATCTAAAGCTATAAGAAGATATCTGAGGTTGGAGATGAGTAAATTATGAGGTAGAAGATACAGTTAATCTGAAGAAAATTTCAAAGGCACAGCGGGGACTCTGGTTAATTTTAAATGTATTCTAGGTGGTAGAACTGAACATTAATATTAATTTTACAACAGTAGTAACAACAACGTCATAGGAAAGTGGTTTTGTACTTAAAAGTATAGTAAATTAACTTTGCTTTTGCCGTAATGTTAAGACACAAATATCTGAAGTAGTCACTGGAGGCAACAGGAAGCTGAATTTCCCTTATGGAAAGAGATGGCGGAGTTTGGCATTAAGTTCTCTTTCCTTGCTTAAAAGATCCAGGCTGTGCTTTTTGAAGGCTTCCGATTGAAGACGCAGCTCATCATAAGCCTTTTGGATCCCATCTACCTTGCGCTGAAGCTCGCGGACTCTCAAGTTGCTATCAACCGCCACTGCCTCCTGCTCGAAGCGTTCCAGTGCATGCTTCTTGGCCATGGCTGCTGTCTCCAATTTCTCCTCAAGCTGGCGGATCTCCGCCTGTTTGTTCTGGAGCACCTTGCCCCTCTCCATGGACAGCTGCAGCAGCTCCTCTTTCTCACGTGTGACAGTCTGCAGCCTGGTCTGTAGCTCCTGGCTCAGGCTGCTATGCGCCTCCTGGTCCTTCGCCATCTGGTCGGTGGCCTGCCGGTGTAGCTGCTTGAGGCTCTGCAGCTGGCTGAGCAGCTGCTCTGTCTCCTTGGCATGGGCGCAGGCCTGCTGGCTCTGTAGACCCAGCAGTTCCTTCTCTCGGGCCTGAGCCTGGCTGGCATCGAGTGCACACCTCTGTTTCAAGACCTCTAGTTCCTCCGCCAGGGCCTTGTTGTGTGCAGTGAGCTGCAGTATCTTGGCCTCCCGGTCTTTCAGAGCCTGACTGAAGAGGTTGCTATTCTCCTGCTTCAGCTTCTCATTCTCCTCTTTCAGCTTGAGGTTTTCATTCTTGTGCTCGTCCTTGAAGCGGATCATCAGCTCGTGGTTGGCTGCCAGGGTCATAAAGCGACCCTCCAGCTTTTGTACGTGCTCACTCTGGGCCTTCATCGTCTCCATCTCCTGCATCCTCTTCTCCTCCAGCTCGGTGTTGAGCAGTTCCAGGATCTGGCAGCGTTCCAGAGCCTCATCGGCTCTGCGTTTCAGGATGCAGATGAGCTGGGATTGCTCTTGGATGCGGGAGCGGAGCATTGCCTTCTCGCCCTTCTCTTCCTCAGACAGTCCCCTAAGGTTGGCCAAAGCTTCTCTCAGACCATCCATTTCCTTAAACCCCAATTCCTCATCCTGGTCTTGCAGGTTTTCGTTTTGCTTTCCTAGGGGTTCATCCGGGCTTGGGGTATCCATCCTAAGCGTCTGCCCGTCCTGAGGCATAGACGCTCTGCCTGAGAGCTGGCTTCAGCCTTTCCCACTCTGATTTCAAAAGGGCGTTGCTATGGACTCTTGGCACGCTCCAGCAGTTGGTTTTTCCAGTAAGGAGTCCTGTAATTGGTGGGCAGACCCTCAGAATGCAGTGAGGCAATAGCGGGCGTCCAGAGCCAATCTGGTCAGGCTCCTCCTGCCTTTTTTGTTTTTTAACCAATCACAGCTATCGGCTCACGGCCACTGTCCAGCCTGCGCAGCCCCTAGAAGCCAACCACAAAGTCAGCTTTCTATTCACAACAGGGGACCTGACTGCACAGGATTCAGTCTGGTAAGAGTAAACAGAGTAAGCTTACAAAGACCTATTCCTCCTCTTTGTCCTGAAAAGAAACTGTTTTGTGTGTAAATGTAGCTGCTGTTCTTGCATACAAAGAGCCTGAACCCAAGTGCCAAGTGCTTAGCTCAGTTATTGTAAATTTTTGCTTTAATGCCGTCCTTATGTCTGGAATGGTTACCCACAGCCCCTCAGCACTCCTGTTTTTTATCTCCTGGGAAGACACATTTACAGAAGGAGCCACAATGAACAATACACATGTGATCAAATCAGCAAAGAAGAAAAACATGTATTACACTTGTGCCTAGCACACTGGAGAGACGGAGATAAATATGTTGAACAGAGGCCAATGGCAAAAAAAAAAAAAAAGATTAGCTTGTCAGATAAGACTGACATTTTTATTTAAAGCTTAGAGGGATTAATAGAGCATTGTGTTAAAAGAGAACTGGACAATTACATTCAAAATCAAACAGCTGAAAACAAAACCTCACAAATGATCCCGACAAATGCAAGTGAAAATTAGAATGGTATTTCATCCACCAAAATCAGTAAAAAAAAAATCTTATCATTATGACATTTATGACTACCCAGGACTTGTAAGGGGATGATGAGGGAAGCCCTCTTTACATTATTAGTGAAAGGCAGTTGAGAGTATCTATGCTAAATAAAGTACTTCAGCTGTATTGTGAACTCGTAACTGCTCTTGTCAGGAGCTCTTGCTTTGGACAATAATCTGAAAGAAAATATTTTGTGTATAGCTTTTGCTGTCTGCCTTATAATAATTAAAAAGCTTAAACCTAAATACCCAAAAAGCAGCGACCATCAAGCATTATCATGTAAAAAGGAAATTTTTCAAGGCATGGGAAATACGTTAGAAAGAAAGCTGAAGAAAAGATGGGTACAAAACTTGGGTGTTCAAAATAAACTTGGTATTGTGAAACTTAGGGAGAAATAGTTGGCTCTTTGTGTAATGAGTGTGTTGGTCAGTTAGACTTCATCTATACATGTATGGCGACAAAGAAGGCTACCTGTCATTGCAACTGTTGGAGGGATGTTTAAATACCTCAGCTTTCACTAGGAACGAAACATGACCAAGGGTTTGAGATGTTCCCTTTGGTCTCAAATATTAGATATTATTTCCAGATCGCTAATTTCTTGTCTATAAAAGGATTGCAAGGCTTGAGGACTAGGAACTTTCCTAAACTGGATGTTTTAGACCTTAACTATTTTTAACTGAAAAAAGCATAAATATTATATTAATAGGGTACTGTAAAATATTTCACATATATACATACTTCCAATCAGATTAAACACATATTTCATTATGCATTATGCATTTGCTTTATCCCTCCCTTCCTTTTCTTCATGTGAAAAGGGGTCTTATATAGCCCAGGCTGGCCTCAACCTACTATGTGGCTAGGTATGACCCTGAACTTCTGATCCTCCAACCTTTGGAGTGTTGGTTATAGGCAAGAGACCAGACAAGCAGCCTGGAGGAAGCAGAAACCAGCCAAGTTTCCTGGAAGACGTTTAGACTGATTGAGGCACCTGGAAAGGACACTCTCCAGCCTGTTGAGCAGCTTGCAGGCTCCAGGTTCCCAGGATTTGTGAGCCATCACCCAATCTCCTGTAAGTTATCTCAGTAAACCTCATTGGTTCACCAAGTTGGACTTTGGTGGTATCTGTACTTTGGTTTGTGGTGGAATCCCTTTCTGGAGTAAGGAGATGTGTGCGCTGCATCTCTCCAGAGGGTTTTGTCACACAACAGAGTGGAATGGATGAGGAATTGTTAGCAGTTGATAACTACTGGGGGAGGAAGCACCTTGTTAGAGGTTGGTGGAGGGCAGGGGAGGAGGGAAGGGAGAGGGAGCTGGGATTGACATATAAAACAAGCTTGTTTCTAATTCAAAAATTTTTTAAAAAGGAAAAACAAAACAACAGCAACAACAAACGACCCAAAATAATCACGGGGGGGGATTAGCAAGAAACATTAACTTATCTTCAGTCATAAATGTTGACTTATTTTCAAGCTTTCAACAAACATTTTCAAAATAAAAATTCCGCTTTTTATAATAACCAGAGCTGCTCATTTAGATGAAACAATGCCTAGAGTTGCATTGAATACTCTAGAGAAGTTAGCATATTAGAGAATTTAGATTTTAAGATTCTTAATACAATTTATTTTTAATATAAGAAATCAGGCTAAACTACCAATACAATTTAAATCACGATAATTTATTCTAAGGGTTTTTACAAAATACCTTATGAAAATTATACATAGGGAATACAATAAAATTGACAATTTTTATTCTAATTAAAACTTTGCAGCAAAGCATATCAGTGACTACTTTTATGCTGTTTTCATATAGTAAAATAAAAACAATTATATGCAGTATTTTAGCATATTGTTATAAAATACAGACTTTTAAACCAAATTAAGTCAAAATAAGCCAAGAGCTGAATCCATGTGCAACCAGTAGGTGGCACCAAAGTCCATTTGAGATTGAGAAGGAGGGGTGGGAAGGCGGGGTTTCCTCAAGGCAGATTTATTGCCAGTAAAGTCAGTCTTACTGCCCTAAGATGGAATTCAATGTCTTATTAGAGGTTGCCAAGTAAACAGTTGTCTTATTATTAAGTTGTCTGTCATCACTGCTGTTCTTCCTGTCTCTACCCAATCCCAGGAGTATTTTTCTGTCGCTTTGCCCATAATCTTCCTATTTGTATGCCCAGCAAGCATTTTAATAACCAAATTGCAGGCCTGAACTGCCATGCAAGATTGTGGTATGAAACCTGTAAGGGTGACTTTTTCTTTGGTGTGGAAGCAACAGTTTAATTTTCCTAGCTTGTTCAACTATCTTCTTGAATGTTGGCATCACACATCTAGTTGGGCATACCTCTTGTCATTGTTTAGCTGTCTTGAGCTGTGCAGTCAAAGAAATGCATGCAAAATGACTTGGGGAATGCTTGCATAGTAATCATAAGTGACAAGGGGGTGGGGATGTTTGTCCAGAAAGTCAGAACTCTCAAGCTCAGGACCAGCTGGGAAGTGGTTTTTGATGGTGGAATCAGCTGAGTAGGGTCATTTGGAAATCTTGGCAATCAGAAGCATCCTGAGGGGCAATGTTGCTTCAATCCAAGTGTTGGGAGAATTTACCATCTTCTCCCAGAGAGCAACTTCCTCGGAAGTGGAGTCCATCCAATCCACTTCAGTTCCATAGCTTTTTCCTGAAAGAAAAGTTTTATATTTGCAATTATGTTTCCCATTTGCAATTAAGTTTCTTACCCCGGGTAAGGGAGAAAGGCAGTCAGTCATTCCTCAATTATAACTGCCATGGCAGAAGACAAGGAAGAGTTGGAACACACCTGGAGAGCACATCTGCTGCAGGAGGAAGAACTATGTTACTACCCAAGGGGTTTCATTAGTTCAGTTCCTCCTGATCCCCAGTTGGTTGCTCTTCGTATGCTTTTTCAGGGTCATAGAGGAGTTGGGAGGTTTATGCATTGGGTTAGAGATGACACCTCATCCGTGTCCTCAACCTTCCAAGTGCTGGGACCTTTTAATACAGTTCCTCGTGGTATGGTGACCCCCCCACCATAAAATTATTTCATTGCTACTTCATAACCGTAATTTTGCTACAGTGATGAATCACAATGTAAATATCTGATATGCAGGATATGTGATATGTGACCCATGTGAAGAGTCCTTCAACCCCCAGACGGTTGAGAACCACTGTGCTAGATGATTATCTGGGAATACTGGCTAAAGTGTTTTGCTCGACTCTGTCATTGGCAGTTATTTATTTCTTATTGTTTTTGCTTGCTGCTATTATTTGGGGAGGTCGTTTCTTTGGCGACTATTACTAACTGCCTCATGGAACTGTTATAAGGCATAGGTACAAAAATGTAAATAAATTATTGAGTAGAGTGATGCAATGGTAGTCACTATAATTGTTCAAAGCAGACCTTTAGCCATGTAATTCGTGCGAAGACACAAATTTTCCTAGCTTGTTCAGCTGTCACACATCTTGTTGGACATACTTCTTGTCATCATTTAGCTCTCTTGAGCCATGCAATCAAAGAAATGCATGCAAATTGACTTGAACATGCCTCAGAGTGCTCATTAGTGGCACCAGGTGAGGATATTTGTTCATGAAGGCAGAACTTTCAAGCTCAGATTTCAGAACCTGCCAGCAGTAACTAATGTTCCACAAGGACAGGCCCTGGACAGTGCTAGTCCTCCTAACCTAGAAGCCTTAGAACACCACTGGTCTTTCACACACGTAGGTCTTTAGCATCTCCTAGAGAGTTTGGCTCAGAGAATTAAACTTGTAACAAGTGTTACCTGTTCCAAAGCCGATCCGGAGACCTCCCAGAAACTGGTTGGTTAGCTTATAATGGTCCCAGACTGTGAGTTCTACACATGCTTCCATCAGATCTTCCGGCCTGAACCCATCATACACCATGGTATGGTTGAAGACAGGATTGGTGGTTTTTCCTACAGCTCTTGTCTTCTGGCGACTTTTCCTACTGGTATCTGGAAGGATAGTACTATAAAAAGAGAAAGTGAGGACATTTTAGTTCAGAAAGTGAATATCTGTGCTAGCAATACACCTCAGCACAGCTGTTGAATGGGCCATGGGGGGGAAAGGTATGGAAGTCAGCTGTGGTGGCTCAAATTATAATCTCAGCACCCAACAGGCTAAAGGAGGAAGACTGCACCGAGTCTTTTCAAAAAGGACAGGTAGGGAGATAGCCACTGTCAGTGAGGTGCTTGTCACACCAGAGCCCATACCAAAAAGTTGAGCAGGGTGGGATGCACATTTAATCCCAGTATTAGGAATTAAATAGAAATAGAAGACTCTCTTGAGTCCCTGTAGCCCCACAGAATAGCCTAATTGGTGAGTGTCAGGTGGATGAGAATGATACCCAAGTTCTCTTCTGGCTTTCTCACACACACACACACACACACACACACACACACACACACACACAGAGGCACGCACACACACGCACACACGCATGCACATATGCACACGTGCTAACACACAGAGCATGTGGAGAGACTGTGCTGGTAGTTTAGTAAAAATCATGCCAGAATGATTGGGAACAGAAACAGCCAAGCTGAGTTTGAATCCTGACTCTGAGACTTATTGGCTATGAATTCCAGGAAAGTCACTCAACATCTCAGACACTCACTGCCTCAGTATAAAGTGGGAATGGTGATGTTGGCTTTGTAAGATTGACATTAGAATTAATTAACATGCAATACACATGGCTCAGTTAATAATGAGTACTTAACATGGTAGAAGTTGCTAGAGGATTGTCTTAGAATGTAGCACAGATAAACTGGAGATACTCATGCCAAGTGAACTGCAGAGAGAACTCAGAAAGATATAAAATTGCACTCTTGCATGTGTGTGTGTGTATGACATGAAAGTAAAAGCAAAATTGTTTAGGGAACAAAAGGAATAAATAAAAGGAGGGAGAGGAGGGCAGGAATACTCAAAGTACATTGTGTACTTGCATCAAAATGACCTCATATAATCTTAACACTGTGTACAATGAATATATGTCAATGGGGAATAACTAAAATTATTAATCAGTTGACTGATTAATAAAATAAAAACATTCCAAACCGAAGCTCACAAAGCCTTTTTATAAGTTTGTAGTAGACATGAGCCTCTTCCCATCTTACTGTCCTTTGATCTTGTATTAAGTCATTGATTAAAATGTAAAAAATAATCATAGTATACCTTACAAATATAAATGATAATTTGTATAGATTAAAAAATAAAAATAGATAAGAAAACAAATGGAATAAATATAGAAAATATACCACATGATCACAATGGTAAACTTCATATACCCAAAAGGGATAATTATTATATGTGAGAGATTTTATTGTAATTTGGGTCCTACTGGTTATTTCCTGAAACCAATAATTTAAATAATTAAAATAGAGAATTAATTTAAAACTTTAGAACTTCCAGTTGGGCGTTGGTGTCCCACGCCTTTAATCCCAGTACTTGGGAGGCAGAGGCAGTCAGATCTCTGTGAGTTCGAGGCCAGCCTGGTGTACAAGAGCTAGTTCCAGGACAGCCTCCAAAGCCACAAAGAAACCCTGTCTCGAAAAAACCAACCCCCCCAAAAAAACTTTAGAACTTCCATGTATTTGTGATTGTCAGCCCAAAGAATTAATGTCATACAAAGTTGAAAAAGAGAACTCTCTTCAATTTGCTAGACTTGACCTTGAGAATAAATAATTTGATAGTTTGTAATTACATGCATCTCGTTTATGATAATAATTAAGTGAATACTAACTTACCATACCTCTCATACAGACAAGATTGTCTGAGATTTGCCATGGAATAACAGACTGACCTGAGCTGAAGCATATACTCTTAAATCTATATCATATAGTCTTAAATCTATGTCACATATACCTAAGTAGGAACAACTTATCTTTAGTAGCATCTCCATAGATAAAACTAGAGCTAGAAGGCCACACTGGTGTCTATTTAGCTGTTGTTTACTAGACATCAGTCATTTTGTGTGTAAAACAGAAGTTAGCTGCCTAAAAACTCAAGTGTCTTATGTGCTAATTCCTGGTTGGGACTTGTTTGGCAAATCACTTTCAAAATATTTGCAATCTGATGCAAATGTG